AAGAATGGCCCCATTTATGATGTAGTTTGGAATTCTAGTTCCACCGAGTTTTGTGCTGTTTATGGTTTTATGCCTGCCAAAGCAACAATTTTCAACTTGAACTGCGATCCTGTGTTTGACTTTGGAACTGGTCCTCGTAACGCAGCCTACTATAGCCCTCATGGACATATATTAGTATTAGCTGGATTTGGAAATCTGAGAGGACAGATGGAAGTGTGGGATGTGAAAAACTACAAACTTATTTCTAAACCAGTGGCCTCTGATTCTACGTATTTTGCTTGGTGCCCAGATGGTGAGCATATCGTAACAGCCACATGCGCTCCCAGGTTGCGTGTTAATAACGGGTACAAGATCTGGCATTATACTGGCTCAGTCTTACACAAGTATGACGTGCCATCAAATGCAGAAATATGGCAGGTTTCTTGGCAGCCCTTTTTAGATGGAGTATTTCCAGCAAAAACAATAACTTATCAAGCAGTTCCAAGTGAAGTACCCAGTGAGGAACCTAAAGTCGCAACAGCGTACAGACCCCCAGCTTTAAGAAATAAACCAATCACCAATTCTAAACTGGTAAGTAAACTTTTACGACTTTAGTGGGAAAAGAAACTTTTCTGTGTGTGACGTTCCCTTGACCTTTTTCTCCGTGTTCTTGGGTTACTTAGTACCTTATTGGAATATAAACTCGAGGGCAGAAATGACTAGGACCGACTGCTGAAGATCATGAACAGCTCATATTGTTAAGCTGACAGTGTAGCTAATTTAAAACAGTTCACGCTCTGGTAAAGATAACTGAGTGTGACATAGCGGCCCTGTAGATCAGGCAGGCCATGTGAGGCAGTGAGTGGGAGAGAGGAACAGGAGAACTCCCGCTGTGTTTAAAGGGTGTAGCAGGTACACAGGAATAGCTGATTGCTTCCATGGGGGATTTTAGGCCCTGTTTGCCAAAATGTTCGATTCTTCAAGACAAATCTGAACAGTTAGGTGAAATTTCTCAATTTTTAGAACACAGGATTGGTCACATAAAACACATTTATACTCGTTAGGCAGTCCGTTCCCTGCTTGTATTGTAGAGTTAAGACCAAAGTGTTGGTCAGATTCTGCCCTGCTTTTAAAATGTTAGCCTTTCAAAGCCCAGAGGAGAGCATTTATTACTGTCCTCCGTTTCTCTGAT